GCTATAATTTCCCATACAAGTTAAGCCTGCAACCTTCCTCTTGCTATCTCAAGACCTTGTCTGCCTGACAAGGTCTTGAGATAGCAAGAGGAAGGTTGCAGGCTTAACTTGTATGGGAAATTACTGTCACTAGCCATGGTCTCAGTGGACAATTTCAATCCACCTCCCTGTAGAAAAGCAACAGCTATCCCCTCATCTCTCCGAGCTGAGCCAACCCGAACCAGAGACTTTTCATCTCCTGTTGGCTTTCCCCCAATATTCAGTTGAAAAACTCCTCTGCCACCTTTTTCATTTTAAGCGCCAGCAGTCTGGTTCCTTCTCGGGACAAGTGGAGACCGTCTCGTCTGTACAGCTCCCTCTTATTCCAAAAAGCATCCCAATGCCTAACAAACTTGATCCCTTCCCCCCTACACCGTCTCATCCACGCACTGAGACTCCTGATCTGTGCCTGTCTCTCCAGCCCTGCGCGTGGAACAGGTAGCACTTCTGAGAAGGCTACCTTGGAGGTCCTGGACCTACGTTTCCTGCCCAGCAGCCTAAATTTCTCCTCCAGGACCTCACGACTGCATTTCCCCACATTGTTGGTGCCGACATGCACCACGACCACTGGCTCCTCCCCAGCACTATCTACCAGCCTATCTAAAACACACGTAATGTCCGCTACCTTCACACCAGGCAGGCAAGTCACCACCATACAGTCAGTACGCGGGTTTGCCACCCAGCTGTCTACCTGTCTAAGGATCGAATCACCAACTACTAAGAGCCCCCCTCCCACCCTGCCCAGGGATGGTTCCTTGGTGTGAAAGGATACCTGCTCACCATCTGGGGAAGAGGTCCCTCCTGAGAGCACATTCCCCTTATCGTCAGTACGGTGCCCTGTTTCCCCTTGAACCTTATGCTCCCTGACAGCAGCGGGGCTGCCAGATCCAGAGTGGGACATATCTAACAAGTCCCCGAGAGTCTTTTCTGTGCACCTGACTGTCTCTGCTTCTCCAGGTCAGCCACCTTGGCCTCAAGGGAGCAAACATGTTCCCTGAGAACCAGGAGCTCCTTGCACCGGGCACACACCCAAGACTTCTGTCCAGTGGGTTGCAGTAAAGTTTAGATTTTCCCACACATAAGGCAGACATATTCCCTGCCCCGTTTCCACAGTGGCCATTTCCTCCACCTGCCACTAGGGGGGGTTGTTTTTAAATCAGCCCTCAGATATTGTTATCCTTATATATAATTGAGTAGTGGGGTGGCACTTTCTGGACATTCCACAGAGTGTTGGACTAGATGGGCCATAGGTCTGATCCAACATTGACTTCTCTTATGTTCTTATGTTCATATGCTCCTAAATCAGTTCGCTCCATGATGTGTCACTCAGAAGCTATCCCTATCCACTGGCTGCGTTGCCTGAGTCCCACCGACAGAGAGTTTCTAGCTCTCCCATTGGCTGTGCAATGTGCTCCATCAGCCATTGACCCGCCAATTGCCACTCAAGAGTACTTGTGTGCCATTGGCCAGGTGCTGGATCTGCTACTCTTCCCCGCCCACTCCCCCTTCAGCCACTGTTCCCTGTCAGAATCACTGGCTCCAGGTAGGGAGATTCCTGGAGATTTTCTGGAAGAGTCTATGGAAGTCAGGGTTTGGGAAGGTGAAAGGCCTCAGCTGAACATAATGCCATACAGCCCACCTTCTAGAACAGTTATTTTCTCCGGGGGGGCGGGATCTGTTGTCTGGAGTTCAGTTGTGATACCAGGTGATACCAGACGACAGAGATCAGTTCCCATGGAGAAAATGTCTGCTTTGAAGGGTGGAATCTATGGCATTAAACCCTGCTGAGTCCTTCCACCACCACCCCACTGCCCATCACAGGATCCGCCTCCCAAATCTCCAGGTATTTCTCTACTCAGAGCTGGCAACCGTACATTCCCCTCAGTGCCTATTGCTAGGTAAACAAGCTTGGTTCTGCCAGTAAAAGGCCATTTCCACACCTATTTTGGCCTTTGGGAGAAAACTCATTGGGGCCAGTCCTGACTAGTGTTGCCAGCTCCAGGTAGGG